ACTCTAGAAATAAAAAAACATAAAAGTTGATATACAAAAATGTCAATTAAAATTTATTTATTAAGTTATAATTTTATGTTATGAAATTTAAATGTATAAAAAAGTAGAATGAGATCGTTCTATCTTCATCATATCATTCTTTTACTTTGTCTTTTCTTTTCATCAAATACAAACTAAAAATATATAACTATACTGCAGATTTTATTTTAAATCTATAGAATAAAAACTTAGAAAATATTCAAAGTAGTAGTACGCATCATGACATTTTAAAAATAAGATAAATCTTTATTTAAATCATATATCTCCATTTTTTATTCATAAAAATTTTATTTTACATAAACATTTTTAGTAACTTAATAATTTAAACTTAATAAACTGACATTTCTGTACATCTTTCCAACTTTCATGCTTATTTTGACTCTAAAATTCTTCAAAGAATTTGTTTTACAAATATCCATAATATAAAAAGAAATAAATATATTATAGTAATAAAAAATATTTATAGTTTTTTAAAAAATTGCTAAGTCTTTTTTAATTTTGATATATTAAAATAAGAAATGAAAATTGACTTACATAAATATTATAATACATATTATAACACATATTTTTCTTATGCTTTAAATGTTCTATTATAATTTTATTTTAAATTTTCTTTTTTAGATTTATTATACAACATATGATATAAAACAACGAAAAGATTAAATAACATGTGTGGAAAATTGAACGAAGTCGGATTATTATTGATTTTCGCACAATTTTCATATCAGGTAAAATCTAAATTTTTATATAATAAGTGTGGATAATTACACAAAAAACTTTTTATGAACATGACAGAAGAAAAATTTAAATTAATTAAGAATTAAATTAAGAATTTTTTTATCAAATATCATAATTCGTATTTGAATATTTTGTGCTTTTTTGCATATCATATACATTTTATTAACTTTTGTACATTTAAATTTTATAAATGTATAAATATTCACAATCTAATTATATATAATATAATAATCAATGAAATAATGTACATATATTTATTATATTATGTATATTATTCAAGAAATAAATTAATTTGTATAATAAATTCGTATAGAGTATTAATATATTCATGAAGAGTTAGTAATATATTTCTGAAAAGTTAATTTTAAAGATTAGAGTGAACACAAAAATTAATTTATGATAAATAAATAATAAATTAATTATAAATAGTTAGCTTATTTATTAAGTTATAAAGAATTTGCGTTAGATAAAATGAAACGGAGATAACAATAGGAACAAAACAATAGTGTAATAAAGTTAGAATTGTTTCAATTTACTTTCGTCTTATTCTTTTTAAATCAAATTTTAATTAATAAAGTTATAATTAATTATATTAATTAATTATTTAATTATTATAATAACTATATATAATAACTAAATTATTAATTAATTATTATTAAGTTATGATTAATTATAACTTAATAAATTTCATAATATTTTTGTACATCAATTTTTGTATTTGCTTTTTAACTTTTAAAATAAGGATTCTCTAAAAATGCCCTCCCTCCCCTCAAATATAAATACATTAACATTCTATATATATATGAAATAGATAACTATACAGAACTCAGCAGATTACTATACTGCAGCTGTGGTAGAATTTACACCAACTTATATCAGAGATAATGGACCATTAACATTATCAAAGAATACAGATGCATACATTAAATATATTGAAAAAGCAAGTAAACAGGTAAGCTCAACTGATTATTAATTTATCTATTATTATATTTTCTAATAATTACTTTTTTAATAGTTGTTTGTCCTGCATTGTTTTATTTTTTCCAAGATTTTATGTTAATATTTTATCAGTTAATGTATTATTTTCATTCTTAGATATCATATTGTTTTCAATAACAAAACGTTAAATTTCGCATTGAAAGGATTCAGAGAAGATTTCGATATTTTGGAATTACATTCTCAAGCTTTTATCATTACACAATTGATTTTCCGTATCCTATGTACCATAGTTCTAAATAAGTACTTTTTGAGTTGCAGGACACAATACAATTTGCTTTTGTAATATTTTGATCAAAAATTTTACAGAATGCTGATATTATCGTTTTTCCGGAAGATGGACTGACATCATTTCATATGCCTAATAGATCACATATGGATTCCTGGACAACATTAATTCCTTCCGTTCATGATAATTATGTTCCTTGTACAAATAGAAGTATCGATGTCAGCGAAGTAAATACTTTATATATTCACATTTAATAAACAATTGTTTTCATCTCAATCTTTATTTTTTTTATTTAATGTTTATATTCATAGACATTAAAAAAATTATCATGTGCTGCAAGACAAAATCGTATTTATGTAGTAATAAACATCGCTGAAAAACGACTTAACAATGATGAATGTTCTTCGAATCTTACATGGCATTATCATAACACCAATGTCGCGTTTGATCGAATGGGAAAGATAATTGCTAGGTAATTATATTTCAAAATCGATTTTATAACAATTTCTTTATTCTTTATCTTCATATATAGATATCGCAAAGTAAATCTTTATATGGAAAAACAATTTGATAAAACCAAGATACCGGAAATTGTAACTTTTGATACTGATTTTGGAGTGAAATTTGGTACTTTTATATGTTTTGATATATTATTTTCGGTACCGGCTTTAAATTTAACAAGAACATTAGGAGTTTCAAATATTATATTTACCACTGCTTGGTTTTCGGAAGTACCATTTTTAACTGGTATTTTTATTTTTTCACTCTACATATTATTTATTTTAAAAATGATTAAATATTATTTTTCATTTGTAATATTTTTTTTCAGCCGTACAAACTCAATTCGGATGGTCTTTTGCCGAAAACGTAAATTTACTCGCGGCTGGATATCATCAACCGAATACAGGAACTCTGGGAAGTGGTATTTATTTAGGTAATAATATTATGTATTAATGTTACTTTTTCATTTATAAGAAACAATTTCTTATCATTCACTATTATTATCATTATTTTCAATGCAATTAATTTTTCGATATTTTTTTAGGTCGTAATGGATTAATTAATGCTACCATGTTTAGTAATCCTAAATATCGACTTTTAATATCTCAAGTTCCAAAATCAACTAAATCTAGAGAAATTAAAGAGAGACAAATAGTACAAAAGTTAAGAAAAGAGAAAAAGAAAAATCAAAGAACGAAAAAATATATTATACGCTATGAACCATTCAACTTTTACAACAAGCCAAAGAAAGGAAATATTCTCGATTCGATAAAATTATTACATGATAATGTTACATCATTCGAATCTATTTTGTTCAATAGTTCGATAATTCAAAGTGTTTGTTATCGTAATTTTTGTTGCGATTTTGAAGCTCGTATTGATACTATCAATTTATCACCAATCCATTATCGTGCAGTAGTTTTTGATAATGTTCGATTATACGGTAAGGAAGTAGAAGCTGGTGTTCGTTTATGTGCTTTGATCCAATGTTCTAATGATTCAATTCGCTCTTGTGGTTTCATTGGTCAATCCAATACTACGTTTTTTGCTTTAAGCATTACGGCACGATTTAATGATTATCCAAAAATTTTGGTAATGCCTAGTGTACTCAATTCTTCGCTTCTTCCTTTCGAACAATGGTCATATATTGAACATACATATGGGAAACAAACAAATCTAACTATTGTTTTAAACGAACCAACAAAAAATCTCGTTACATTTGGTATATATGCTAGAGATTTTGAAAAAGATAAATGGTATTAATTTTAACAGTTAAATTTATTATTTTTTTTTGGTTTAAAATTTTTTTTAAAGTAATGTTTCAATAAAAATATTACGCAATGTTATGAAAATATATATATACAATATATATATATATATAATTTATTTCAACTTTTACATGATTATTTGTAATGATACGCAAAAATAGCAAGAAATGAATTTAGTTTAGTCAAAAAGATAAAAAAGACATTTTTTTAAGTCATATTTTTTTGAGATTTTTTAATTAATTAATTTTTTAAATAGAATTATATATTATATTAAACATATTGTTATAATGTGATAGTTGAATCTAACGACTTATAATAACTATTACATGATTTTAATACGAAAAATATAAAAATGTATATAATAAGTGCGAATAATAAAACAATTACAATTTATTGAAAAAAAAATTAATTGTAATAATTATTCAAAATTACATTCATTAGTTTTTAAGTATTTAAGCTATTACAGAACACAAGTTTTTCGAATATTTTCTTTCATATTATATATTGTATTTTGTTAAAAAACTTTTTTTTAAAATCTCATAGAAAAAAGAATTGTAAGAATAATATCAGGAGATTGTGAAAAGATTCCGACTTTCTCTTCCTATCCATCTATCTAGATATGAAATATTATACTGCGAACGAGCATAATATAGTAATATACTATCTTATCGAAATCATATTCAAATGTAATATTAATGAAACATCTTTTAATAACATCAACAATATATTAATTAAGAAATTTGTTTGCAAATCATTATTAAATATTGTATCTAAAAAGTATGATATTTATAATAATCACTTATAATATTATATTATATTCAATGTCTAATAATCTTAAAATTACATGCACTTAGGATTTACTGCAGACTAGAAATGCATAATATGACTATTTACAGCTTCAATATTATAAAATATTTCATTTGAAAAAAAATTTTTTACGAATCATTCTGAAATAATTTTTTTATTCGGTTACGAAAATTAGCTTTCTAGATAAAATGTAGTTGACGAAAAATCTTAAAAAAAACGAAAGATGCCTTTCTTCAATACATAATATTATGGTCTTATTTTATTTAATTATAGATGTGACTAATATGTATTCCTTTTTGAATGATTAGAAGCGTCAAAATCAACCAATCAGACTAGTATTTTTTTCAAAGGATTTATTATTAACCACGAATAGCGTTATATATTTATGACAAACTCTTCGTTATTTTTTCTCTTTCTCTTTTTTTTTTTCAATTTCTTTTCTTTTTGTGATGCAGTCGCACTCTCGATTATTTCAAAAAACAAATATGAATCACAACATGAAAACATAACAAAACACTAAATAAAACAGAATTGAAAACGCAAACGAATTCCATGTTAATAGGTGATGATTAATAGAAAACTAAACACAAATGTCGTTATCTTTCCTATCGATTTTCTCTCGATTTCCAATCGAAAACTGCTTGAACGCGAGTGTATTGACATTTTATTTAAAATATCGATATGCACACACTGATTTACCGAAACCAGACTTTCAAGAATATCGTCGAAAATCTCTTCTTAATTCAAATATATCGGCTAAACGAAGCACCGATGAACGAAGAACAGCAAATTATGCTGCATCTTTCGGTATGTTTTCATAAATATTTCGACTTAGTGAAACAATGAAATAGAAAGATTGCTTTCATTACCAAAAAAATAAAAAAAAAAATTAACATAATATTTTTACAATTAGTGGCCGGTGTTGCAGCACTTTATGGGTTAAAATCTCATATATTACATTATATATTCTTTCTTGCCCCATCACGAGGCATTTTAGCGGAAGCACAAATTGAAATTAGTTTACGAGATATACCAGTAGGAAAAGTATCAATATTTAAATGGCAAGGAAAGCCGATTTTCGTTTATCATCGGTAAGGAATCATATATAAAGATTTTCATTAATTTAGTTTTATTTCAACTTCAGTTTTCAACCTAATATTCAAAATATATTAAAAATTTTTAGCTCCCAATCCATTATAGATCAAGAAAGATTAGTAAATATTGCGGAATTAAGAGATCCTGAAAGCGATAATGAAAGAGCTAAGCGACCTGAATGGTTAATTGTCATTGGAATTTGCACGCATCTTGGCTGTGTGCCAATTCCTAATGCCGGTATAATACGTGGTGGATTTTATTGTCCATGTCATGCATCTCATTTTGATGCAGCTGGACGTATACGTAGAGGACCAGCACCTACCAACTTAGAAATACCTGAATATAAATTTCTCACCGATGATACCATTCTTGTTGGCTAACTACCGTACTTGATATTTATCACTGTTCTTTTAATTACTTTTTATTCTATTTAATATTAATCTTTATTATTTATTTCTATAAAAACTATTTCTTTTCTTTCTTTATTATTCTTATATTTTTTACATATTATTATTATTATTATTATTATTATTATTATTAATATCATCGCAATATCTGTTAATTATTATCTATTATTATCTTCGTTGTCTTGCTTAAAAAAATATATAAATAAATAAAAATATATAGATGGCGTTAAAGCCACATTTCAACCATTTCATGTTCGATAATTTTCGATTGTTGGTTAGTGTTTTATTTCATAATTGAATTCCATGATTGAATTTTTCATTTTTTCTTTTCTATTTATATTTTTTTATATTTTTATTTAGATCAAACGTGATACTAATTCGTCATACTTCATTTTTAAAAAAAACCAAAATGACACCACCAATGGAAAGAATACAGATTCTTGAAACAATTGAAAAAGATATTATAGTGTGTTTACAAAGTGCAGGTAATCGACAAATCTTTATTTTTTTATATACATTGATCTTCGTATAAATAAATATAATTTGTATAGGACAAGCTTTCGTAGAGCTTAGTAAAGAAAAATCTAGTTTAAAACAAGCTGAAGCACAAACTCAACAATTTTTGAAGACATTAGGACATGTGGAATCTAAATTAAGTGAACAAATTAATTATTTAACTCAAGTTTCCACAGGTAAAATGGAAAGAAAAAAGTTTGAAAAAGTTCTAATAATTCATTTAATATATTTCTTTTTTTAAAATTTGTCTTCTTCTCAGGACAACCACATGAAGGTTCTGGATATGCCAGTCAAAAAGTATTACAAATGGCATGGCATAGGTTAGAACATGCACGAAGCAGAGTAAATGAATTAGAACGTATCAAAAACAAATCAAGATGAACATATCCAATCATCTTTCTCAATTATTTTCAATGTATCAATCATAAATGTTTTAATTGAAAATTATTAGTTTTTATATATGTACAAATAATATAAAACATTTAATTCATTTATAATAAATATATTTGTAATTTTCATGCAAACAACATAAGTATCTACAATGAATGAAAATTTCAAAAATTGTATTATATTAAATAATTCAATTAGTTATTTACGTTTATATTTTTCTTTACAAATAATAGAGTTACAAACATTTTAAAAAAAAAACATTCCTATTATATCACATTAAAAAATATAAATATAATAAAAATAAACATCAATAAATAAGCATTTAAGATACCGATCCATCCATTATACCAATACTACGCTTTATTGTAGCAGCTAAAGAAAGTCTTGATCGTCTCTCTTCATCTAATTGTTTTGTCAATAATGACATTTGTGATTGTAAATTTGTCATTTGATTTTTCAATGTCATAACTGTTTCTGATAATAACCTATTTCAAATGAATATATATATTAGATTCACATTTTTAATGATGTAATTTCATATATATATTTTTTCATCTATAATACATATATTATTTATATATATATATAAATTATAATAATATAAATAAAACATTAATTTACCGATTAGTATAAAAATCCCAATTTTCACGATTATTCATTAAAGATACTTTTTCTTGCATTTTATGTGAATCATATTCCAATATTGCTAAAATGTGAATAATATTCGAGATGTAAAGATTAATCATCAATTTAAATATTTCAAAAACAAAAAAATTTAATTCACAACCTACAAGTTGATTCTCCAGAATGCATGGTAAATCTAGCATTAACAGAAAGACAGTATGCCTCAATCACTTTTAAGATGATCGCATCTTCTTCAAATTGTCTTTCATCTGCAATAGGAAAAATTGATTATTCTTTGTATTAATATATATTGTATTGATATATATATTGCAAAGTTTAATATTTTATATTTATATCCCTACTACATGAACGTGATGAAGATAAATCCAAACTGATGTCAGTTTTATTAAATATTTTAAAAGCATAAAAAGGAGGTGCTGGTCGTAATGAAGCGATATTCCAAGGTGTTTTAATTCCTAAGGTGGAACAATGTTCCATGATTGATTTGTGATGTTGTTGTTGTTGTTGTTGTTGTTGTTGTTGTTGTTGTTGTTGTTGCTGCTGTGCTTGTAACTGCTGTTTCCCATTTTGTTGGCTGCAAATCTGGCAAAATGAAAAAAGAAATGCAAAATAATAATTCAATAATTCATCATAATTATAATTAGAACAAAATTAATTACGAAATGTATTATTCTACTAATCACATATTTTAAATAAATAATAAAAAATTAGAAATAAACCAACAGCATATGCAAGTTAATTTTGTCTAATTTAACATTTAACATTAATCTTGTTTTTCAATTATTTTATAAAATACATACAAATGTTAAAACTAAAATTTACTTCACACAACATGGCTGTAAAAAAAAAAGCATATGCTTATGTGCACTAAGCGCGCGTATATGCATCTCTCTCTTTCTCTCTCTGTGTGTCATACGCGCGCTCTCAGAAGAACATAATTAGTATTAAAACAAGCAAAAACATTAATTAAATGAAGAAAAAAAAAAATAAAACAGCCATGCCATGGAAGCTTGCCTTGATCTGAGCATCCAGACAATGGTATAAATTTCTTCAACCACCAATGGGCATATAGTCCTGATTTATATATTTGACTCGTTCCGTTGTAATTGTTTTTAACAATGGGATGATTTGGCTGAATTACTCTTCTTCCAACTTTTCGTACTATAGTTTGATGTATGTACGGTATAGGTTGCGTAAATCTTTTTTGCACTTTATGCTCATATTTATTTAAAGGTACATAAATTGTATTTATTTGTGTTTGTATTTCATTTGTAGCAAGAATATGCTTAGAATTATGATCTTTTATATTAGTTTTGCACATTGAAGGATCCTGAGCATTTTCAATATGCTTCGATAAACTGCACAAATGAACGCTATTTCTGGGAGTAGAACCAAAAGGTGATGTACAAACGCATTGATATTCAAATTTACTTTCATCATTTTCACTTTCGCTAGAATAGATTCTTATAGGATGTTCAACGTTATATTTATTATTGACATATGTGCATAATTTACAAGAAGAATTAATTTCAGATGAATTCAAGCGATAACTTTCAACCATTCCTGAATCTAATGATCCAACACTAATTACATTTGCTTGAAAATCAGATGTTTGATATATTTTTTTGGTATATATGTTTGAAATTGGCAATAATGTTTATTAATGTTTGAATTACACATAAAAACAGATGAATGATGTATAGAATTTTTGGTAATCTGTTCATCAATGAATTCTTTTCCTTTCCAACACTTTATTGAATCTATATGCTTTTCCATTTCATTAAATGATGGATATATATCTTGATGGAAGTTAGAGCCAATTGGATATGAATGAATAAGATTAGTAAAACGTGATCGGTAAAGAGATTGTGAAAGATCAACAAAATTATTATTTATATTATTATTATTCATAAAATTATTAATTGAACTTTCAATACCAATAAATGGTAAACTTTTACTAATTTCACGTATGCCATTTTGTGTTGGTTCTGTTAAACATGAATCATGTGCTAATCCTATAGTACTAAGATCAATATCTTCTAATGCATATTTCACTTCTAGTATCAGAGTAGACTTACGCAACATTGTTTGTGTCGTTTCAACAGGTGAATGTTTCGTTTTAATATTATTTAAAGCGATATTCTCTGAATTTTGAGAACAGCAATCTTGACTGTTTGTTTGCATTGGATGAAGAATATATGTTGTTATATTAGTTTTTCGCATTTTTACGTTACTCATATCTGGTTTCAGAATGTATTGCAAATAAAGCAATTTTTTCAGAATTTCAAGACGTATAATTTTTTTCTTGACTAATTTTGCAAAATATCTTGAAAGACGAACATATGGAGGTAAATTGTAACTCACGCGTGATGTCATTGATGATTTTACAAGATTACTATTTGTTGTTTGTTCTTGTATTAAAAGTTTAATCCAACGCTGTTGATCTTCTTTAGTAGCACAAAATACAAGTATATTCTCAATCATGGGCCCTAAGGTAAAATCGAAATTTTATTAATTTTTAATGTTTCATTTTGAAACGAATAAATGGTTTTAATGATAAATAATAAATAAATATCTCTTGCCTGTAATTTCGAAAGTATTTCTTATTTCATCTGTATCTTCTATTTGAATAATGGTAATACCTGTTAATGGAAGTTTTCCCTACAAATAAAAAAAGTAAATTCTTTTATTTATATATATTTATGAATGGAAGATATAAGAAATATAATATATAAAGAAAAATTTTGAATATACTTCATAAACAAAAGAACTCATTCTTGGACTGATACTGAGAACTAAAAGAGTTGTTGGAAAAAGAACAAAATATCTATCTCGACGATCTAGACTTGTAGTTCCATTTGCCAAAGTGACTGAGCCAATGTAAAGAATTTCTCCAAGAGAACTTAATTCTTCTCCCTCCCATCCTTTAATACCACTAGTTAAAACTTGGAGTGCTAATTCACGTTGTTTTCGTATAGATATACATTGATCCTATACAACAAAAATATATGTATTACATCAAAATACAAAAAAAAACATATTACAAAAAATTTCAAACATTTTTAAAATTAAATATATAACATGTAGATAATATTGAATTCTTTAACTTACAGCTATTTCCCTATATACAGCTATACTGCGTTGAATGTCGCCTCTATCAGGATGATTCTTTTCCGTATACCTTTCCAATTCTTGAAGCATAGCAGAATATTTGTCCAATCTTCGAAAAGGTTTACTTAAACTAGTTGTTAATACTAATATACCCGGTGATATTGCTCCATTACATTCCATGAAATTATTCAATTCATCTCTATATAAAAAAAGTTTTACTAATTCTTTTTTTTATTTAAATAATCTAAATAATTATAAAAATCTTTTAATTTTTGTAACATACCTGTATTGATCTAAAATACATACAGCCTGTGGATGATTTCCACAATACGTTATATGAATAGATTTTAATTTTGGTGCTAATGTTAAAAAGAGATTTCCAACTCTCAAAGCACAATCTTGTGTTATAGTTGCTTCCAAGTTAGATAACAATAATTGATGTATTTCAAGAACTTCATGTATATTACCTAAAAGTTGCTTGTATTCTTCTTCTTCTAATCTAAAAATTTAACATATAAACAATTTTATTTTTAATATTACAAATTTTCAATATTATTAATAAATATACATTTATGTATATACAAAAATAATATGTACAAATAAATTAATAATCAATAATTAAATAATTTAATACATATATTTTATAATTATTATATATATATTTTATATATATTATATAAACTTACATATTAGCAGATTCTAAAGGATGTAAAAAATTATTTATTAAACCTTGCAATTCTGCTACATTCACTCTTTCAGAATCTATTAAATCCTTTAATACAATATCTCGATTTAATTTTTGATGCACAGGGGATTCTTGCAAAATTTTTTCAGGAGAAGTCTTCATAGTTGAAATATTATTTTCTTTGAATGAAATAAAAATAATAAAATAAAAAAGTAACAAAAATATAATAGAAATTATTTGATGAATTAAAATAGATTATTTTATTTTATGCATAATACCTGAAACTCTACATTCCTTAACATAATTAGATGGAAACCAACCAGTTTTGTCATGCAATGTGCCTTCCCACCAGCCTTCTTCATCTGTTTGTGTTATTGTTATTACATCTCCTTTTTTAAAACATAACTATGATAAAAATATAATAGTATTTAGAAAATCAAATTATAAAAAAATGATAATATGATACAATAGAAAATCAAACATACTTCATCATTATTTTTTCCTTTAAAGGAAAAAAGTGCAGTTACGAGTTTTGGCATATCAGGTTTTGACATGATTATTAATATAAATTAATAAAGAAAGAAAAAAACAATTCAGAAACAAATTTAAAAATGAATATATAAAAAACATAAACAATCTTTAATCAAACAATTTCATTTTACAAAAAAATATCTCTAATTTTATTTGCGTTTCTTTTTTATCAATTCATATGTATCATAAAATTTGAAATAATATAATCTTGAATACATATTCATTGAATATATGGTTTAAATAATATTTTTCAATTTTCACAAAATTACGATTCATATTGCCATTCTTGAATGTTTAATTGCATTTTTATTTATACGTTTCACCTTTGTTCTTGAATCATACGATTCGTATTCTTTTCTGATTACACGTTACCGCATTTGATTTTATTCAACAATTAGTTTAAATATACTTGATGAATTATATACAAAAAAAAAATTGAAATTATTCAACAATGTCATTGAGTATTCATCTAGGAAACAAAGAGGTTAGTCTTACATTCAGTTGCAACTATTAATATCTAACGTATACATTTCATGTATATGTATATGTATATGTATGTATATATGTTTCAATTTTATGTATTACGTAATGTAACTATTCAACTTATATAAATAAATAAGTAAACATATATTACGTACATATATATTTATGATATCTTCTTTTTTCTTTTTTATTTTTATGTAATATCCTGTTATAATATTTTATAAAAAAGAAAAATTTCAAAAACTTTTTTTTAAGAAATTAAATATCAATACAAATTTGTTGTATAAAATTTATATAAAATTATATAATACTTACCCACATAAACAAATATATACTATAAATAAATACATATGAAAAATATATGATATAAAAGATAAGTTTTTTATAGAAAAAAATAATACGTAAGTAAATGAATTATATAAATGAGAAAATGCTGTACTTTTATTGTACCGAATTACATGCATATGGTATTACTTACATTCGCGTTCTTAAATATTACTAATATATAGCTATGATATTTTTGAAAACAATAGTTTTGATTTTTATCTGATTTTAATACGTAATAAATTCGCAATTATGATGTTAGCAAATATCTATTTTCGACAATATATTTTTTCTTGATTTTATAATTTATAGTATATATTACATACTATATAAATTAAATGAAAAGAAAAAATGAGCATATTGTTGACGCATCAATATAATAATTCGGTGAACACAATCAATCTCATAATCAATAAGTTGAAAATAGAGAATGTGCAATACAATTTTAATAAAATGATAATTTTTTTTAAATATATTGGATATACGTACAGACAGAAATTCAAATAGAAATAAAAAATGTTTAATGATTATATTATCGAATTATTATCAACGTTTTGTCATGGTCATTATTATCGCTACTACGGGCATCATATGATGAAAAATCGGGATCATAAATTCGATCGAACTATATTTCTCGTTGTATCCCGATTTTCCGTATATATATAATAGAAATCATTTTGCTAGTAATAGTCAATATGCAAATAACATTGTTTAATAACACTAATAACAAGTAAAGACAATAAAATTGGCGCGGTTTTACTACGCACACAGGTACAAGGATATAATATAACATCGATCGAAGAAATCGCCTAATCGGAAGGCTCTGGTCCGCAAAATATGGGTATTCGTCGGTGTATCCAATCGCATACATACATACATATATACTTATATATATATTTGTATTCACGTTTGTCAAAAAACAAATAAATTACTTATCTCATTTATTTGTTTTCTTCTTTTTCAAAATTTTTTCAGCTGTAGAGAGCAATACACGCGATCCATGTCATATTCTAAGAGACGGTACTCGGGTCCTTTAAACAAAATTCATTGATGTTGATGAATTTTCAATTAAAACCGACAATATTATTCACGAAGGATCCTTGAAGGTTTATGTTGATGGACGGATAATCATCAGTGAACATTATACTTTGTTTTCTTTCTTTTTTTCTTTTTTTCTTCGCTCTCTCTTTTTCTTTTCTCCCATCTCTTACTCCCTCTTCTTTTTTCTTGCTTACATGCTCATCAACTTCTGCTCTAATGAATTACTTTTTTACTATCGCTCCTATCTTTTCTCTTCGCATATCTTATTCTTATCGAATTGGTCCTTATAATTACGATCAACTCTCTCATTCTATAAATTCTTTAATTTGAAATATTATGTACGCGCATGTTACTAACGTTTAACGTCGCTGCTCTTATCATTAATATGGTCTAAGAAAAGAGCAGAAGACGATTTTTCGTTGAAAGAGAAAAAAATGAAAGTAAAAGAACATACATGCGCATATGGAGGACGTTTGCTCGTATTAGAAAATATAATTTGTATCGCAAACAATATTTTCGAAGAAACAAAACATTTATTCGTCAATGATATTGTTCGATATTTGAAATCGAATGAAGATCAGTCTCGTGCGCGTGTTTTGAAAAATTACAAGTTAAAATTCGAAAAAGACAATTAGCGCGGTTCTTAACCACTAATTATAATCGACTAATTATGTCATTCATGCACTCGAAATATTTGATACGTTCGTTACAATGCCATGCATTAATGGCGATCTAAACAATTGCCATAGCTCGTAGAAATTTTTTTTTACTTGATGGACGGGAAGTTATTATAAGAATGGTATAGACCAAGGTAAAATTGTATACTTGAAAAGTATAATACACGCGATTTACGGGACAGTCTTCCAAAAATCTACTTACATCATATTTGCAAAAGCTTATAAGCAAATAAAATTTCACACGTGTATTACACTAGTGCAATATGTTTTCTTTTTTAAAAAAAGCTTTGTTTTTTTTATATATGTTTAAAGACAAATTTATCTCAATGATATATCAATTCATTCTAACTTTTGATAATTATATAGAAAAAGATATACTTCATAAATTTCGATGATTTTCGAAATGTTATTTTGAATAATTCTTTCCTATACCGCTACTTAATCTTGAGATATTCGCGAAACATTGTATTATAATTTTGTTACCTTATATGTAACCTTCTGTAGTAGCAAAAGTAACAGTAAAATGAAACTTATTGTTTATAGTTTATATATATAATACTATATATTTATATAGTATATATATAAACATATTATAGCAACAGGCAATCAAAATATATAACGGATAAAATATTATTATCATATTTAATATTTATCAATAACAAGCGAGAGAATGATAAAGTGATAAAAATAAAATATAAAACAATTTTTCAAAATGTCAATGATAGAACTTATAAATTAATATTTTATTCATTGATTTTAATGATTTTAAAATATAATGTAAAGGATATGATTTTAAGCAATTCTCTATTTTCTACATAATAGCGGTTAGTTTTTTGAGTTAATAAAAAATTTTTCATATTATATCATTGAATTCTATATATGTCTGTACGTCAATATGCAACTTTAAGAGCAGTTAGGATATGATTTTTATTATTAGAACAACAAATTGAAGAATTATGGATTTATATATAAAAATAGTTTTGATCCGAATTATTGCAAATTCATAATTTAAGAGATATTAACAAAAAATTTTTGCTACTATTTTATTAAATTTTAATCTATATCATTTTATCTATATCTATATATCCATATATCCATGAGAATATAAATCAATATACGATCATTGTTTATATATCGTATCTATACATATGATGCCCGGCTTTTAAAATAACGAAATTAATATATAGAGAGAAATTAGACATTTTTTTACGAAAATAAATATTCTGAAATGTAATATGCTTTCAATTGATATGAAATTAGAGAGGAACTGAATAAAAAGAAATGAATCTAAAATTTTAATTTCGGGTTATTAATTTTCGAAATATTAAAAAAAGGTTTGATTTGATAATTATTTAGAATAGGAAAAACCTCACTAATTTTTATATTTTTTGGAAATCGCAAAAAATCATAAAATCAATATTTTGAACAACTTTTTTCTTTAAATATATATATCATCTTCGTATATTATCGCTCTTAGTTTTCGAAATATTTGCAAAAAAAATTATTATTATTATATTATATTATTATTATTATATATTATATTATTATTATATTATTATTATATTATTATTATTATAGAATTTTTTTATACATTCGTAACTGTATGCGATTTTCTATAAATATAAACAACTAAAATATATAATTAGTGAACTAATAAAAAATTATTATATATATTATTTTATATTAGATTTAAAATCTTAGTTTTAAATCTAATATCGAACTTGGTCAAAATTAAAATATAAAATAATTCTAGATAAATTATAATAATCAATGAATAATCATCCAAATTTCGATTTTTTTTTCGTTTCGGTCATTCAAGGATCTGAAAAATTTATATAATGCTCCCGGCATTAGATTTGAGATATTTTAAGCATATAATAAATATCTATAAGCAAATAGATTTTTGACCAGTCTACTCATTATATATTTTGGATGCCATCCGCTGGAATATTTATAAGAATAATAAATGATTGTAGACTCACACACATACATAGTATAAAATTTCTTTTATACATTTACTTATAATAACAATCTTTTTTTATCTCGAAAACTAAGAGTAGCGGTAGGAACATATAGAAAGAAAAAAGTTTTTTTAAAATAAAACGGCAAAAATCTTTCTATTCCGAATAATTAACAAAAATTTCAATACAATATATTAAATTCTGCCTTCAGACATATTATGAAGATGTATTATCTTCGTAATAATAGTCGTAATTTAGTGTTAAGTATCAAATAATTAATCACAATAATATGACGATAATAGCAATAATAATCTTAACATTTATAAGATATTGCATAAGTATCGGCAACGCGTGACTTCTAAGCCAGCCTAGTAAGGCTCAAAATATTTTAAAACCAAACTAATACTTTTTTATCTCCATGATAACACATTTATATGTTGCTGAATGTCTTTCACTGAAATAAAATAGCTAAAAAAAATAATAATGAAAATAAAAATCATTATCGGCATTGGTAACTATCTATAATCGGGAAAAAAATTTGTTCTAACCAACTCAATAATTCTGTCAATAAATCTTAAAATATAATATAGTTTAAAATAATTGCAGATAAAAAATAATCTTAAGCAACTGAAATTACGATAATGGATTTTATTTGAAGATACTATTTACTTTAGAACACACTGTGAATGAAGTATCGCTATTATATTATGTTATCAACCTATATATCAATCTATACTCGATAACGATCCATAGAAAATGCAATGATAATAAGCATTTAATGTTAATTATATTTATATTATACCAAAAATTTTATTAATATCTTAGAATAAAGTATAATATGCGATTCTAAACGATTGAAATTTTGAGGGATCAGAGAAAGATTCCTGAATATAAAATTTTAGCTTCGAATTTTTATTAGTTTCCGAGAAATATTAATAATAAGATTGATAAAATGTATAAAGATGAAATAGTTAAAAATCTATTTTCTCATGAATTATGATAA